GAGGGGTTGGGGATGTCAGCCAGGACGCAGCCGGGCCGAGGACAGGACGCAGCCGGGCCGAGGACAGGACGCAGCCGGGCCGAGGACAGGACGCAGCCGGTGGGTGGGTCACCTCTGGAAAAGGTTTACACTCGGTATTGTATGAAGCTAGATCACTGCTGCGGGGAAGATTATTGCAAGTTTTGCTTTTGAAACTTGCTATTGTCTGTACACGTGACCCAATCATGTGACAGTGATCATGTGATGAGCAGCATCACCCTAGGAGTGACAGCGGAGGGAGGACTTGACATCAAGGCACAGTACAGGTGTGCTGTATGGGCCGACCTGTGCCGATTCTATGGCACTCTGCTGACTTACTTGGCAATCTTTTCTCTTAGTTGTGCCCAGTCCCAGAGATCGGTGGGTGTAACGTTCCACATATCCGGCTGCAGGATCTGAAAGGAGAGCGACACCGTGAGCCAATCAGTGAAGGTGCAGGAAGGAGTCTCCGCACCCTTCTATATGGACGGATTCTTACCCCTTTGCTGACAGGACTCCCCTGGTACGTGTCATAGGGACCGAGCTCCTTGGCCAGCTCACAGCTGGACTCCAGAGCAGCGTAATAGATGGTCTCAAAAATCTGCTTGTTCAGCAATTGAGCTTCTGGACTCTCGAATGGGTACCGCATGAGGATGAAGGCGTCTGCAAGGCCCTGGACTCCAATTCCAATAGGACGGTGCCTCTTGTTGGAGTATTCGGCCTGCGGACAGACAGAAGGCGGATTATTGTGTGCAAACCACCGAATACCTGACCAGGAATAGGAATGTCTGGGGAGAGGCGTACCTCAGGAATGGGGTAGAAGTTGATCTCTATGATGGTGTTTAGGTTGCGCACTATGACTTTGGTGACATCGGCCAGTTTCTTAAAATCGAATGTACGTTCGGATGTCACATACATGTTCAGAGCAAGAGAGGCCAAATTACACACGGCAACCTGGAGGATGAAACCATAAAAAGTTATACACGGCACAGCAATTCTATTGTATGACCCTTCAGCACTACATGTGAACACAGAACATGTGCCAAATGTACACGCACATCTCTTCTAGTCTACACGGCCAGGCATATTCCAGGAGTCACATAACAACCCCCCCCCTCCAATAAGGGGAGATAGGAGACACGGGACACCGGAGAGGGGGGTATAATACCTCTTCTATTACAGAGAACAGAGGGGAGGAGGAGACACCGGAGAGGGGGGTATAATACCTCTTCTATTACAGAGAACAGAGGGGAGGAGGAGACACAGGACACCGGAGAGGGGGGTATAATACCTCTATTACAGAGAACAGAGAGGAGGAGGAGACACGGGACACAGGAGAGGGGGGTATAATACCTCTATTACAGAGAACGGAGTGGAGGAGGAGACACAGGACACCGGAGAGGGGGGTATTATACCTCTTCTATTACAGGGAACAGAGGGGAGGAGAGACGGGACACCGGAGAGGGGGGTATAATACCTCTATTACAGGGAACGGAGTGGAGGAGACACGGGACACTGGAGAGGGGGGTATAATACCTCTATTACAGGGAACGGAGTGGAGGAGGAGACACGGGACACCGGAGAGGGGGGTATAATACCTCTTCTATTACAGAGAACAGAGGGGAGGAGGAGACATGGGAAACCGGAGAGGGGGGTATAATACCTCTTCTATTACAGAGAACAGAGGGGAGGGGGAGACACGGGACACCGGAGAGGGGGGTATAATACCTCTTCTATTACAGAGAACAGAGGGGAGGAGGAGACACGGGACACCGGAGAGGGGGGTATAATACCTCTTCTATTACAGAGAACAGAGGGGAGGAGGAGACACGGGACACCGGAGAGGGGGGTATAATACCTCTTCTATTACAGAGAACAGAGGGGAGGAGGAGACACGGGACACCGGAGAGGGGGGTATAATACCTCTTCTATTACAGAGAACAGAGGGGAGGAGGAGACACGGGACACCGGAGAGGGGGGTATAATACCTCTTCTATTACAGAGAACAGAGGGGAGGAGGAGACACGGGACACTGGAGAGGGGGGTATAATACCTCTTCTATTACAGAGAACAGAGGGGAGGAGGAGACACGGGACACCGGAGAGGGGGGTATAATACCTCTTCTATTACAGAGAACAGAGGGGAGGAGGAGACACGGGACACCGGAGAGGGGGGTATAATACCTCTTCTATTACAGAGAACAGAGGGGAGGAGGAGACACGGGACACCGGAGAGGGGGGTATAATACCTCTTCTATTACAGAGAACAGAGGGGAGGAGGAGACACGGGACACCGGAGAGGGGGGTATAATACCTCTTCTATTACAGAGAACAGAGGGGAGGAGGAGACACGGGACACCGGAGAGGGGGGTATAATACCTCTTCTATTACAGGGAACAGAGGGGAGGAGGAGACACCGGAGAGGGGAGTATAATACCTCTTCTATTACAGGGAACAGAGGGGAGGAGGAGACACCGGAGAGGGGAGTATAATACCTCTTCTATTACAGGGAACAGAGGGGAGGAGGAGACACCGGAGAGGGGAGTATAATACCTCTTCTATTACAGAGAACAGAGGGGAGGTAGGAGACAGGACACCGGAGAGGGGGGTATAATACCTCTTCTATTACAGGGAAAGGCATGAAAGGAACACTTTAAACATGCATTGGAGTGAGGCGTGAAGCACATTTCTCATGTACAGAGAACATTTGGATGACATTTACAGGTAAGAGATTTCTTCGAGCAGTCTCCTCCGGTAAACACTCACCTCGTCGTCACTGGTGTACTCCACAATCTCTGTACACAGGTTGCTGCACTTTATGGTGCCGAGGTTCTGCTGGTTGCTCTTGCGGTTACAGGCGTCTTTGTATAACATGTAAGGAGTGCCAGTTTCTGTCTGAGATTCCATGATGGCATACCACAACTGTTGTGCTTTCACTACCTTGCGTGCCCGACCCTCCTTCTCGTACCTGAGGTGCACAGGAAGAAAAAAAAAACAGACCGTCAGTACAGACCGCATACAGGAGCGAAAACAGGACCATGAAAACTGAGGACAGCTGCTCACCGTTCATATAATTTCTCAAACTCCTCACCCCAAACGTTCTCCAGCCCCGGACACTCGTGGGGACACATCAGGGACCAATCCTACCAAGGAGGAAAACAAGTCACGTGTGCTTTTTAAGTCTCGAGGCACTGCAAACCTCAACCATGCAGATCACAGTCTACCGATAACCTGTGTAGTATTTCACCCACCTGATTAGATTCCACACGTTCCATAAACAGATCCGGGATCCACAAGGCATAGAAGAGATCTCTGGCCCGTTGTTCCTCCTTCCCTGTATTCTTTTTCAGATCCAGGAACTCAAACACATCGTAGTGCCAAGGCTCCAAGTAGATTGCAAATGCTCCAGGCCTCTAAATAAGATGGGGAAATCAAAGGCCTTAGAAATAAATAAGGTCCAAACTATGCAAGGTGAAAGCAGAGCGAGTGGAGACCGCACGTACCTTGTTTCCTCCTTGATCCACATAGCGAGCGGTGTTGTTGTATACCCGTAACATCGGTACCAAGCCATTGGAGTTACCGTTTGTCTGATGGGAGAAAAACAAGTCTATTTATTTCTTGGGGTCCATTGAGGGACACAGACGTCTCACCTTCGGGTTATACCGTCGCCTACAAGAGGATTGTGCACCAGCAAACAAACACTGTCAGCCAGCCCAGGATAACCCCCCACTACTCCCAGCATGCCGCAGTTTGGGAGCAAAGTAGTACCGAGAGCATGTTTATGAATACAGCGATTGGATGCCCACAATAGGATTTTACATTGCGTATGAAAATCTGATTTAATTTTACCCATAGGGCATTCTTAAAAGGAGAACTACGGGGTCGGGGCTTTTCCCCATAGTTCTTCTTAGTGTAACGGGAGGACACAAACTAGCGTCCTCCCGTCACCCTAAGCTCAGTATATAGGGAGCTCTAGCTCCCTATATACCGAGACGCCGCAGCTGAAGTGCAAATCCCGACAATTATGTCTGGATCCGCCCAGCTGCGTGACTGACAG